ACACACACACACACACACACACACACACACACACACACACACACACACACAAACGGGAATAGCTGCTACTGTTTGCCTTCTTTGCACTCAGATGGTTAAGAACATTCGCAAATGCTAAATTGGTGTCTATTCTGACACGATTTCCGCCACAGTCTATAATTCACTCGGTTATGGATTGAAGCTAAACGCCACCCGGCAGCGGAATCCCTTCCTTTGTGTTTTGGAACGGTGAGAGCTCTGGCTGGTCTCCTCCAGGGGTTACCCTGAAAGCAAAATTGCATCTCTCTGCCACGCAGAGCGGTGATCTCCTGAGTTAGGGTTAGTTTCAAGTGGAAAAAAAACAAAAACAAAAACCAAGCTCATTTTCTCATGGAAGGTGAAAATCCTGCAGACGAAGTGAGTCAACAAATACTGGGCCCATTTTGCAGTTAAACCTGCTGTTATTCTTTACTATAGCCTGTTCCAGATACAAGCTGTTCACGCATGCCGGTTGCTATGAGCAATGCTATATGGATGACCTATATATGGACCGATTCATTCTATGAAAAGCTCTGCCTCTTTGTTGCACCATTTTCACCAGCTTAAAGAAAAAGGATCCAAAATGGGAATCCTCCTCAAGGGAAACAATCATTTTGTCCAAACCCACACACACACAGTCAGACGTCAAATCTAATCAAATATTTTCCGCCTCTTTTTGGGGTCTTGGTCGGAATTCTTGTGCCTCCTTAAGTCCAAAGGTGAATTCATTTATCAGAAGACCCCAGATTCAACTACTCGTGCCAACAGGATGTGCCTTCACCCTCTAGACGGTCCCCTTTTGTAAAACCAGCACCCAAGCAGAGGAGCAAAGCTGCAGAGATGCCAATTAAAATGACAGGAGATAAAACAATGTGACCAGCAGGGTGTGACAGGAGGACAAAGACAGTCTCACTCAGACTTCTGTTCCCAACACAGCACACAGTTAAGGTGGGATGTCTCCTTCTGACTGATTGCACCGTGCTCCTATTTTCGTCTTCCTTGGGAATTAGGAGGCTGCGGCACAGCTAGGAGCTGTTGATCAAACACAAATGATAAACTGATAACTGACAAATGTGAGCGCAACCAAAAAAATTTCCAACACGAGATGACTAAGCTCTTGTAAAATGTTTAGTCTTCTCCATTTCTTCATCTGTTTTTATGACTGGCAACGGATTTCCCGTCTCCTTTTACGTCCTCCTACCACAACCCGCCCTCGACTCTTTAGCTCTTATGTTGGCTGGCAAAACAATTAGCTTAAAGACAATATCTCCGGCAACCAACCATGGAGTTGGATGCCAATTGTCTGGGTGCTTCAGCAGGTGTCAAGAGTCAGGGCCAAAGGAGAGGCTTGGTTCAGTTTTATTCTCCTAAAAGAAGAAGCTAGACTCCATTCTCAATGTTTAACTCCAATGTTTAACTCTGCATCTTCAAGGAAAACTGAATGTTTTCTCTTCCTTGTGTGCGTTCCTGTAGCTGAAGTACACTTTATATTGCCTTGTGTGCGTGTTGTGCTCTCCACTCGCTTCGCCTTTTAATTCAACCATTATGGTTGCGAGTAAATAGCTCTTTGTTTGTGCTGCTTGGAGGAGCAAAAATCAATGTCAGTTGATCAAATAATTTGTTTAGTTGATCAGTTTAGTACAGAACGCGTCCCCCTTGTTGCATCGTGTCCATTCTTTCCTCAACAAACGAGTTGAACTCGGCTAGAAAGAGCAAAGAAAAGAAGCAAAAACACATCCGTGGACTCGCTGTTGCAGTTCTTTTTGTGTGTCTGCGTTTAACAAAACAGCTTTATGCTAGAAAACACAGGTCACTGGTTACTGAAAACGCAGCGTTCCTACACTTTCAAAAGTCACATGACTACACTGTACGCTGACCACCACTGGGACGAGTCTCCCTCAGTCTTCCGACAGCTTAACATTTAAACGGGCCCTGCCCTCTCCGTCGTACGCCGCTCTTTACGCTCTGCTTCTCTGAGTCGGAGTGTTTTAGAGCGCGTGACAACGGCGAGACGGCACAGGAGGCACCCAGACTGGAAGGGAGGGGGGGGTATGGGGGGCCACAGTATTTCAGCTGTCAGGCGGCAGTTGTGCAGGTCATCTGCTGCAGAGAACAGGTTCCACGTCTCAGATGCACGTCGCCTTCGACCATCGCTCCGGCTGAGCCAATCCCAGCTCCTGTAACGCGCGCGTTTCTACCCACTGCCAGCAGAGGAGCCTTTTGTTTTGCTCCGTCCTGTCAGCGGGTCGCCTCGGTCCAACATGTCACAGTCGGTTTTTATCAGTCCTCCCTGTGAGCCCCCACCCCCGCCTCTTCTCCTCATCCTGCTGTCCTCTTCTCTGTCACGCCCACTCCGTGTCTTCCACCTTCAGCGCAGTGCAATGTCACCGCGAGGCCCCCCCCCCCCGCACGTCCGGCGGCCTCACGCTGAAAAGGTGGCGTGTAGTCCTCCGCAGAGGGGGCCGCGCTGGTGTGGGATTTGGATCGGTCCTTGGCTGGTTTTTCTGTTGTGCCCGGGTACGTCCCGGTTAACAATGGCTTCCATCATCCCAATGATACGAAATGTTTATGTGTTTGCCCCTTCGTCTGAGCTTTTTGAGTTTGTTATTTTGCCATCCTAAGAGGCCATTTTCCACATGAAACCTCACAACTGCTGAAGAACGCCAAAGATGGAGGGACACCTCGTCCTTATCGGCTGTGAGACAGCAGGGGTGACCGCTTTGGCGGGATGAATTCCATTCCCTCCTTCTGCCCTCTTTCTTTTTCTGATCGCCTTCTCTGAGCTCGGTACCCCTCCCTCCATCTTTTTCCTCACACCGCAGACCTGCTATCTGCCTCCCCTCACGATTCCCGCCAGCCTCTTCTCCTCGTTCTGCAGCGTGAGCGCCAGTCTCTTTCCCCTTTTCCCCTGCCTCCCGGCCTCCAGGGGAGAGGAGAAATGGGCAAACTTTCCTACGAACGATACTCCTTTTCTTTGGTCTCGTTGCCTGCTGTGTTTGCAGTTCGGAATAAAGAGGTGTGGCTGGCACACACACACACACACACACACACACACGCAGATGCCTGAAGTGGGGCACTGGGCATTAAGGTCACCCACATCGAGGCTGACGGCTGAAATACTAAAAAGGTTAAACCTCTGGTATTTGGGGACCGCGCACAACCGCTCCCGCATGCGCGTTAAAGACACAAAAAGGGCGGCGGGTAACAAAAAGGTCTGAGGCGAGCGAAGGAAGGGGGATTTAGAGCTCGATTCCTATGTGTGTGCGTTTCTTTTTTAATCTTATCAAAGATGATGACATCTCAAAGAGGCAGATGTTTCTGCGATGTGCACATCTGGTGGCTGGGTGTGTCGAAGAGCACAAATAGCTGTGATTTTCTCTCTTTGTCTGCGTTTGTGCCGTCTTTGTTCTTGATTCAAACAGACTCTTTTATACTCGCTTCCTGTTTTTTCAATTTTTTTTCGGTGGAGCGGGTGCTGGGAGGTGTACCTTTTTTGCTTTGTCTACCCTCATTACTTTCTCTTTTAGTTCCTTCTATTTGTTGGTTGTCAGTTTGCTTGTGTGTCCCAGCTTACTTTGGCATTGTCCTGCTTTGTTTCTCTTGGACCAACTCTGTCCTACTGACCTCATCGGGTAACTCGGTGAAAACGGAGAAATGTATTCTTGTTCTTGAAGCGGCAAAAGAAAAAGGAAAAAGTTGGTTTTGGTTCTGACATTTCAAATTTCATGAGAAATTCAGCAGCCGGGCTCCTATAAAGTCCATGTATCTAAGTTGGACAGCAAAATGACAACATCACATTTGTTTTCAACTACTGTATCTTTGCAGGTCCACTGTATCTATGTTAGATCCACCCACCTCTTCTTTGATGAACACCAGGTTAAATATACAATGGTTCAGACTTCTAGCCGACCGATAAGTCATGGTAGTGTTTCAAAAAAGGAAAACAGGTTCTTTTCAATGCTCTAAAATCAACTCCCACTCCTTCTGGTGGTCTTGTGGAACCGAGTTGCGAAGACTGCCAGGATGAGTCACATGCTTTGAAAATATCATTCTTCCTGACAATTCTATTTTCAAATTGGCATCTTCATTTTGGCTAATCAAACTAAGTGAATCGTGACTTTACAGTAGACGACGCTGGCAGAAATCTATCATAACATAATTACACTGACAAAGATTGTCTCTTTTTAAGTTTTTTTTTACTCTACACATAAGCAACCGTTTCTGCTCAGACCAATACTAAGAAATCCATTTTCATTTTAGGGAAGTCATGCACGACAGCAGGATACAGTCAAGTCATGCTACTCAGGCTGGTGTGCTTATGAAATAACAAAAGAGATTAAACCTTTGTTATAAAGTCAGGGTTGCAAATTAACTGTGGGCGATTGTGCTCTGGAAACACAGTTTTGACGGCCTCAACTTAAAATGTCTTTGGTGCAAGATAATACATATTTCACTGACGATGATGTGCTCATAGATGTGTGAGTAACCCGCTTGTGAGCTCTTCTAGATGAATACATGTTAAATGGGAAGATGTCACGCTAATGTGAGTTGATCAAAATTCTTAGAAAGGCTCATTTTTTACGCTTCAGGGTGAAATTTAGTGATCTGTTCTAAAAAAAAAATGTTTTCTGCCTGGGGAAAAACAGGGATTCATCAAGATGATTGACCCCTTTAGATTTTGTTTCAAAATCTGATGTAAAGCAGCCCGATTAAAACAGACTCCACTCTCGTAGACTAGTAATGTAGCTTTCATGTTACGTTTCTGTACTCAAGCTAACGTATGTTGGGGCATTGGGGGGGGTTTCTTTTATTTAATCAGCACCGACCTGGCACCGAAAACCGTAGTTACAAATATCATATGAACAACAAAACAAAGCTTTATACAAAAGTCTGATGTAATTCCACAGAAACTAACCTAATATTTCACTTGACAATTGCAAACAGATTTCAACACCTTGGGGTTTTTTTGAACCCTCAGTGTTAAATAGAAATGCTGCTCCCAGGACTAAATCCATCCTCTCTCCTGAAGCAGATTCTGTTAGTGTGCAGTATTCTGCCGCTGTCACACCTGCTCACCGCTATGCTAGTTTAAATGTAATGTGTAGCCATGCGAGCAGACTGTCTGCTGTGATCCAAATGTTCTCTTTTTTTCTTTTTTTTACAACTGGGAACAGTCGTACGTGAGAAGCGCGCATGTGCAAAATGTCCACAGTCGTCCTGATTTACTTTGCTCCATCGAGTCAAAAAGAAAAAATAATCTGTCACCAAACTCTCTCTTGCAATTTGAGGGAGTTCAGTCACAGCCGTGCAGACTGACAACTGTTAGTTTTCTACTCTCCCTCGCAACCAGTCTGGTGTTCAGAGCGAGAGCTGGAAAGCGCTGAGAAAAATGAGCGACAAACGTTTGGAGAGAAACAAGGCACAACAGTAGCCACCATGGAGACTCAGAGGGGAGCCAAAGCGTCCCATATCTCCCCACTGAGCCAAGATTTTGCTCAGTCTCTCAGCAGATCAGTTTGGCCCCATGTGTTCTCTGTGGTTCATCACTCAGCACCTCAGCTCACTTCTCCTTTTCAGTTTCATGTCACCTATTATTCGCTCCACCGTGACCTC